CTGCGGCCCGCCGTTCCCCTGCGGCCCGCGACCGGCTCCGCCGCCGTGCTGGGGACGGGCGTTAGCTCTTCCAGTCTCTCACAGCACGGGGAAGCTCCTGAGAGACAACGTGAAAATAACCATGCGTCGCCCCCGTCACTTTGCGGGAGACGGCTGCATTTCGGTCTTGTCTTCAGGTGATGAATTTCACGCAAAGTACTATAAATCTTGTACTTGCCTTTCATTAAAGGATCTTACGCCTGTAATGAGAAACAGCCGACAACAACAGCGATAAAGAGAGGAGTTGCGATTCTGCTGTCGTAACTGTATTGCAAAGGCGTGTCTGGTGCCCGTACAGAAACTGCCCGACGTGCTCCTCCGCGTTTCAGTATGCCCGTCTTCTCCCCCGCGTGCCGCCTGTTCCCTGAAAAATTTGTTGCCCTCTGGCCCTTCCGTTAGTGTGCGTTTGTTTGTTTTTCTTGTATCCAGTTTGTGCTTCGGCCAGGTCAGGTTTTATCCTCTGTGGGCCCTGCTCTGGCTGCTGAACATCTTCATTTAATGTTTTTGTAGCGGAGAACAGACTGTTCTTTGCAGAGTGCCTCTTCCCTGTAAGTGCGATGTGGTGAAAATCCGTAACTCATGTATGGACAGAATGTCCAAAAAGGCCTCTTAATCCCCTTAATGTTTGCAAGTAAAAGCAAGCTTTATAAAAGATGTTTAAAGAGGTTTCTTACTGCTGTTGTCAACTGCAAGTATTTAAGTCAATGGTCTGACTTTCTGTAGGTGCTGCGTTGAGACGGGAAGGGGTTTTTGTTTTGTATTGGTTTGAAGTTGCTTGGATGATTTACGTATCTGTATAGTCATGCTTGATCTTTAACTGAGCAGGCAGTTTTTATCCTAATTTCAGGTGGTGTGTTCTTCGGAATACTTTGTCTCATCCTCAGTTTAAAGTTGGAAGGTACCGTAGCATGTTTTGGGTATATTTCAAGCAGAAGTCCTGCAGATGTTTAGGAACCTAATAATTCAAGGAGTTATTATGGTACTATCTAAACCCCACTGTTTTGGAATGGATTGCTTGATTCCTGCCCCCCCCCCCCCTTTTTTTTTTCCTGTTACAACCACTCTATGAAATTTGCTGCTCGAGGTGCACTAGTTGGGGGGTGGGGGTGGAGTGGAGATAATATTTATTATCTGTATGTCACTTTTTTCAGTGTTGTAGAGTGGAAATTGGTAAATTGAGTGTTAGTTACGTAGCCAGTTACACTACAACGTGATTTACAGTCCCTGAGGATAGTCTTTTGTGTGAGGGCTTGAATCAACTACTTTTACAAACACTTCTTCTTTCCATATGATAATAGAGACTGCCAAAAAGCAAGATGAAAGCTAATGGCAGCCTGGCTCTTGGCTTCTTTGAGAAATTGTGATTAAGGTAATGTGAATATTGAGATAAGTAAATGAAAGAAAGAATGCACATGTGAGGCACAGAGAAATAAAAAATCAGGTGATAGCTGAGAAGTAGTGAAAGCTCTTTTTTGCTGTCTGAATTTTTTTTTCATCAACTCAAAGTGTAGGAAAAGAAAACTTCAAACAGGAGGAGGATGAAATCAGGTGATGCTGGAGGAAGGGAAAATATAACATTCCATTTGTGAGTATACGTCAATCTTAAAAGGCAGATTTAAAAATATTTCTTGGTTGCTTGACTGTGCCGGTCAGTCACATCTTGCTGGATGATGTTAGTTCTTGCTGTATTACAAATATGCAGAAGAAACAAGTTGTTTAAGCCTATCTGAACTAGAGATGCAACAGAGATTTTGAAATACTAGTTCACCAAAACTTTTCCCTCATCTTCCAAACTATCATGTGTCCTGTACTGCAGGAAAATAACTCTCTTTTCCTTCTCTACTTAAGGCAACATTAGAAATTTCAACTTACTTGCCTTTAAAAAAAAAAGTATGCACTTAACCTACTGGGAAGACCTTTTTATGTAGCTGTTCAGGATGAGGCTCATAGAATAGGAATTCAGTCCTGTTGTTGTGGATTGGTTTGTTTTTTAAAATACCCTGGTAAGATGACAGTGCATATGTTTGCAATTAACAACAGATATTTGTAGCAGTATGAACAATTACTTTTTTCCTAAGGAGAAAAACAGAATACTGTGTAAAAATGCATTTCAGAAAGAGGTTGTCACGTTGCATCTCCAAAACATTTCCTGCTTTCAAAAAGTAGTAATCTACTGTCCTTCTGTCTTACAAAGTTGCCGTGGCATAAGTGTGTGTCAGCAAAACTAATATTTTTCTGAACAGAAGAGGTACTACAGTGCCAAGTGGATTTTACGGGACAGGTAGTTAACTTACATCAGAAAAGGGGGATGCAAAAAGGTAAGTACAGTAAGATGAGACTTAGGAATTACTGAAGGAAGCCATGTAGCTGGGACAAATGGAAAACACAGTGAAGAGTAATTATTGGTTGATTTAATTGCATTTTTGCATTTGAAGATGTGGAAAATGACATAACAGAGTTCTTTCTTCTCCTCATTTTTTTAGACCTTAGCAGAGAAACCATAGCAGGTGCTTTATCACCATCAGAGTAATCTGATGGTATTAATATTACTTCATGCTTTTAAAAGTACTTTTTTATTACAATCAGAATTCATCAGAATGCCTTATTGTATTTAAAAATTGCCAGACCCCTGATGGGGCTGTTTCCAGTAATACCACTGCCTTGAATGGTGGAGTTCTTATTCTGGTATGTCATAGTAGAAGTGTGTGCTTATAAACAATAATGCTAGTTACAAATTATTATTAAGAGACTTACAGGAGTGCTGTACAGGCCTGTAAATATATGGACCATGGCTTCCTTTTACTTCAAAAACTTCTGAGTTTCTCTACCATGCCATCTTGTTGCTGAGGGTGAATACTGGGATCTATTTCGTTTACTTATCCCTGCCA